AATGCAAACTACCTTGCTGTGAGAGTAAGCAATATGAAAAATACTTCTGTATATAAACAGAAATAGGACATTGATCATCTACTTAACAGCACACTGAACAAAACAGTAATTGTTAACTAGGTTAAGCCACCACAATAACGTAAATTAATTATGAAATCATCTGAAGTATTCATCTAAGGGCTTGTCTATGTGCACAGCTATTAAAAGTTTAAGAAACAGTTTAAGAAAAAGAAGAAAAATAGCATTCATCCTTTATTTTCATGTTTGCAACACATAGAAGAATGATTTTATATAGTAGAAAGAGAAAAAAATGTGTGTAATATTCCCATGTAACACACCACATCAATTAACAAAAAAATGCCAGCTTCTTAAAAACATTAGCTCTTGTGTCCACAATGACTATGAATTCACTGATCAAATCAACCATCACAGAATTGCAGGGGTTGGAAGAGACCTCAAAAGATTGAGTCCAATTCCCCTGCTAACGCAGGTGCCCTACAATAGATTGCATAGGTAGGCATCCAGACAGGTCTTGAATATCTCCGTATCTCAGTAGCCTCTCTGGGCAACCTTTTCATGTATATTCTATTTAACTCCATTACACTAAACTTGATCAGGCTCAAGACAACACAACGTTAGAAGTAAATGAGGCATATGATATGAAATCATGAAAACTCACTGTGTCACATTCAGCTATTTTTCTTATTAGAATTGCAGATGAAGATCTGAATCACTTGCTACAATCATTTTACAGCAAATTTACAGTGTGTTTTAGTTCCATAGATACTCCTAACTAAAGTTATAAGAGAAGCAGTTACAAAACATATTCACGATAGAATTCATTTAAATTTTTTCCTCCTCTAAAGCAGTTGCTATATTACCTACCCTTCAAAACTGGTCTTGCACTTTGATACATTATTTTAGAAAAAAGAAAAAGAAAACATACCTGAGTATGATAAAAAGCTTTTTTTTTTTTTTAACTATACAAGACACAGTAATACTAGCTAACTTGATTCCAATATGACAAAAATAATAAGCCATCCCATAGAAGATTTCAAATGCATTTTTAAAATCTGTAGTTTAAAGGAAAAAGTTTCAATTAAAATTGATGCTGTGAAAATAACCTAAGAACCTGGTGATATTTTAAAGGACTCACATATTTTCTTCATTGTGGAAACATACTGAATAGTCACAGTGTTCAATTAGGAGAAAAGGCAATGATGCTTCCACTGACCCCTCTGGTTTCATGCTGTTTGTTTTGCAAAGCTCAGAAGCATTTTGCCTTTCACCTAAAAAAAAACAATCAACAATATCATCAGTCAACAAAACAATGAAATAAGGCAAACAGAAGGGATTTAAGAGAGAATTAAAAGTAATGCAGTAAAATAGCATGAAATAAGACCACACAATCTTTCCATTTCAAAAGATGGAGATGTCTTGAGCCAGAGAATCACCTTGCTGAGGTGCAATCGTTATTCATTTGTAAGTACTCAGTGTTATAAAAATACCGCTGTCAGTTAAATAATATATCATGGGGGCTCTGGTATAAACGTAAAACAACGTAGCATAGCAAAACATATAGCATAAAATAACATAACGCAGCGTAAAATAGAAGATTCTTAGAAGCTCCAAAGGTAACTGAGAAATGGTACTCCACTTTGACAATGGATTATCTTTTTTAGGAATTGATTTTATTCTCACATGTATCATGCAATGATTTACAAGCAGATACATTATCCAAGATGTTATTAGAGACATATATGCGTAATTCCTCCCTGTATGCCAACCCCCACCTTCATATCAACTTCAGTCAAACAAACATTCCACGTGACTGAGATTCAAAACTCCATCACTTACACTAACCTTTCATGGCATAAAAGGCACACACACTCAGTAGTCAATAACAATTGAAATACAGCAAAACCAGCATACTAGAAGCACTATGCTACCTAATTCTTCTTCAGATTTCCAGATTTTATTATAGAATTTCTCTTGCTCTTTCTTTAAGTCCGTATGTGCCACACAACGGTAACTATGATCACTGCTTAAACTGAAGATCCAAAGCTGAAAGAAAACAAAAGAAAAGCAACTGCAATGAAATTATACAAATATGAGCTAGAGGTTCAGTACTGAACTCTGCTTATGTAAGTAATGAATTTTTACTCATCTTACCTGGGACCAGAAATTAAATTACATCTATCTACATCCCAAACTTTTCAAAGGTAATTTCATTATTAGCAGAAGAAGCCATTATCAATTTGAACAGCATGTCTAATTCCCGTATGTTTATGTCTTTTAAAAACAACTCCTCACAGACTATTACCTACAGTTAAAAATCCTAGGCTACCTGCGTGCAATTGCTTAATGGGCCACAGAAGTTAATCTCATTGATACCTTTGTCTTTTTAGGCATCACTATATTTACATATTTAACTTTCTTCATGACCCATTGAACACTTACACTGAAGGAAGAGAGCTTCAATATGCCACAGAAAAAAAATCAGATTAATTTATTCCTAGCATTAAATTAAAGAAGAATTCAAGTGCTTCAAGTACATTTATTACATTTTTCTTAGAATTCCACCACATTAAAATCATGGTCTCTCCCATTTATGGTTATTTGTTTTTTTCTTGGCCAAAAAATGAGAATTCTGCTTTTCATCTTTTTTCTTTTAAAACAGATACATATAGTATCTCAGTGTGCATATACTTACTGATAGCAGTTCTAAAAACTTTCATGGTTTTGAGGAAAAAGTTTGCATTTTGTAATAAAGGTGTTACATTGTTATGTTTGCTAAAATAATTGTTGTAGCATTTTAAAACTAGCATGCAAATTGTGATGCTTCTTGATAGATAAATTAATGATTGTTGACTATTTTGTCACAGAGAGATTATTTTTTACGTCTACT